AAATGTAAGTAATTACAGATAAGTAAGTATATCTAATAGAAATACATCCTAAATTTTTAATCAATTGTAGTATGTAATCAAAATAATTGTATCACTGGCCTATAGATATATTTGTTCCTACTACAGGATCTATAATTATTAAATTTTTGATGGCTATTATAATTAAAGAAGACTTCATAGAGGCCAGATGCCTGGAGAACAAAAGCTTTGGGTCCAGAGAGATGATTATACATAGTGGCTATACAAAGCCCCGCGGAAACTGCGATGACAAAGTGACAGATCAACTAAGACTGAGAAGCTTATCATAATCATCTTATATTCAGTTATCCTACTTCCTTTCCTTTTATAGAAATATAAACATAAAAAATAGCAAACAGCTTTCTTAGTAGCAAAGTAAGCTAGTCACTCTCTCCTCTGAAAACTCTTGCTTTATACTTCCATAATGTGTCTTAAATATTACTTAGACACGTTCTCTCACATATAATTCACTATAAATTCTTCAGGAAACAACTTCTTAAATCATTTTTGTATGACCCCAACTGTGCATATATTGGGTATTGGATATTGAATAAATAATAACGACTGAATGAAAAAAGAATATCCACATGATTTATCAAACTGAGCCTCCAGGTCTGTGTGTAGCAAAAATTCTATGTTCTTTATCCACTGGCCAACTACAGGGAACAGCATGGATGTTCATCCTTACGAGCAAGAAGTCAAAGGTTAAGCTAGAGATATTTTACAAAGAATAGAAGGAAGGGACCATGTTACTCGGAAACATTTTCATTTTGTTTAGTCTCTCAACTCCTTCCCTTATCTAAAAACTGTCTATATTTTAAAATACAGATTTTATATAGCTGATTTATTGGGGGAGTATTCTTCCTAAACTTACATAAATGTCTATTTCTTCAAAAGAGCACAAAGAGATTTGAGAATTTTCTTTGATATAAAATAGAGAAAATATATTAAGATTCAGGTTACTATTACCTTACTACATAAAAGTATACAATATTGTTTGGAATGAGCCACTGATTTTGACTCCCCTACCCCAAAAAAGTGGTTTTCATCAATGCAACATTTATGTATAGCTGATAACTGAGTACTATTGAAAGCCCCAGAATAACAAACTCTCCATCGTGAGGCAATTTATTTATGGTGACCTGCAGCATTAACATACGCAAAATTGCTGACTTGCCTATGAGTTTCTTAATCTAGAAAAACTCCCTCACCAGTGAAGAAGCTGGATAACAGCAAAATACACTAATTTCATAAATAGTAATAATAATTTCATGGAGGAAAAAAAGGAAGAAGGAGGAAGGAATAAAGAGAAGGAAGGAAAAGGGAGAGAAAGAGGAGGAAAAGGTAAAGAGAAAGAATATTTACTGTACATTTTTATGTTACAGGTACTATGCTAAATATCTTTATTTTATTTTCACAAAAACTGTCAAAAGGAGGTAGTATTACTCTCCTAATTTAAAGATGAAGGCTGGGCACAGTGGCTCACACCTGTAATCCCAGCACTTTGGGAGGCTGAGCGGAGGATCGCTTGAGGCTAGGAGTTCAAGATCAGCCTGAGCAACACGGCAAGACCCCTGTCTCTTAAAAAGTTAGCCAGTCATGGTAGTGTATGCCTATAATTCCATCTACTCAGGAGACTGAGGCAGGAGGATTGCTTGAGCCCAGGAGTTCAAGGCTGTAGTGAGCTATGATTGAGCCACTGCACTCCAGCCTGGGTGACAGAGTAAAACCCTGTCTCTGAAATAAATAGATAAATAACGATGAAGAAACTAAGGCTTAGAGAGATTAAATAACTTTCCCAAGAGAAAACAGAGCTGGGGATAGAACATTTCTGTCTGACTC